CTATTTGTAGTATTTGTTCTTGTTTCTGGTTTTCATTTTCAACATCAAAAAATCTCACATCTCTTGAGACATAAATTTCCTTCTTATCAACATCCCACACTCTATAACCATTGGTGGCATAACCCACAAAAATACCTTTTTTGGCTCTAGGGTCCAACTTCTTTAATTTGCCCAGAATCTTGGTGTAAACAGTAGATCCATATAGTTGCAGTCTTGAAAGATCAGGTATTTTATTATGCCATTTTTGAGCAGGAGTAGTATCAACAGCAACAGAAGGTGTTCTGTTTAGCAAATAAGCAGCTGTTTGCACAGCAGTGCCCCACATATTATTTGGCAATTTAGAATCTTGTAACAAAGCTCTCATTTTATTTCCCAGTGTTAAATTCATACGCTCAGCAGTACCATTGAGCTGAGGCGTGTGTGAAATAGTTTGGTCCAATTGTATACCTTTGGATTTACACCAATTCTTAAATTTATTTGAACTATATTCACCACCATTGTCCATTCTTATTTTTGAGACTTTCAGGTTGTGATGATTTTCAGCTTCCAAGATATATTCCTTTAGAATAATCTCCGTTTCATCTTTAGTTTCTAGCAGATAAACTGAAACATAGTGCGTAAAATCATCAACACATGTCATGAAATAATTTTTACCATCAAAAGTAGAAGGACTAATTTTTCCACACAAATCAGTGTGAATGATTTGCAGCGGTCTTGTAGCTCTCTGTCTTTCAGTATTGAAAGGATTCCTTATTAGTTTGGCTTTGGCACATATCTCACACAGTGAGTTAATATTACATTTGTTTAAGTATGATGGCACTCCCTGACACAAGGTAGGGATCTTTTGTAAATTGGCAAAACCAATATGTCCTAATTTACGGTGCCATACCATTACTTCTTCGTTTGCCGAAAAATTGGCTTCATAAGTTTCTTCTTGAGATCTGAGATCAACAACAAACAAACCATTTTCTGTTTGATGACCTGTCAAAACAATTTTATCATTTTTTAAAATATCCACTTTATCTCTTGTAAATATAACTTCTCCTCCATGGTCAGTAACACATTTGACTGAAAGTAAATTTTTAGTAAGATGCGGAACATAAGACACATCTTTTAACATAATGTTCCCCACATCAACATCTCCAGATAATGTAGAAGTCATGGATACATTTTTCTTCGCACTGTATATCTTAACTTCAGAGTTTACCGTATTTCTAAGAGTATCTTTCCTGTTGGTCATATGAAGAGTGCACGCACTATCAACATAATAAAAATAATCTTCATGATTTATTGCACTGACATCAGTCTCATTCATAAATGCCACTTTTTCTTTATTCAAATTTTTAGGTTGATCTTTAAAGCGACAGTCATTTTCAGGATGATTTGTTCTTTTACAATAAGTACATGGTGGAAAAGAACGCCCATAATTTATTTTAGATATTTTCTTAAAACATTCATCTTCATTGTGTGTATCCTTTTTACATTCCTTACACCATTTCTTCTTAGGACATTTTGGTTTTATATGACCTGATTCACCGCATTTGTGACACACAATTTTCTTCTTGATAAAAGTAGATTTATCATTTTTATTAACATAGAAAGCCACACTTGAGTTATCTTGTTTGGAATTTGTTTTCATTTTCTCTTCTTCAACACAAAGTCGAGCAATTAAATTTTCCACAGTTTTTACAGATGATGGGGTAGAATCCCAGGCAACTGAAAAATAGCGATAAATCTCAGGCAGCGATATTAGAATTTTTGCCATCATCATATCATCAGATACTTCCTGATCAAACTGTTTGAGCTTGAATACAATATTTCTGAGATAACTTAAATTTTGCATCATATCTTTAGATTTATCGAACACATAACTATGAAAATCCAGAAGAAGTAATTGTTTAAGTTGAGTTGTGTCTCTTCTATATATAGCTTTCAATGTGTCATACATTTCTTTGGCGGTTGTACAGGTTAAAATGTGATTTTTCACCATCTTATCAATGGTCCTTGCAATGTAATACTGAGCTTTGGCATCCTTTGTTAACCAGTCGTCTTTCTTTTCTGCATCGGCAGCAACCTCTCCTAAAAGTTCTTCTCCATTGACAACTTTCCACAATTTTCTTGATTTAAATAATATTTGAATATCAAAATCCCAATGCTGAAATGATTCAGCGTCTGTGAGTCTCGGGAAGTTGAGTAGTACAGCATCCTCGGATGTCATTTTTACTTTTTAATGAACAAATGAGGATGAACACACGGGAGTACGTAACGCCACAACACGTGGTTTTTCGATATTTTCGTTTTTATGGATTTTCAATCACTTATAGATTGTACACAGTAACATTTGGCATTACTGGGCCCATAACC